GGAGCCTAGCAATCTGGATTTCATTTAACAAACCCTGCAGTGACTCTGATGTATGTTAAAGATTGAGAATCACTAGTGTAGTTGGATGTGCAAGAGCTTAAAAGCCAGCAAATGTGGGTTTTACATGTAAACTCTCATTTGCAGCTCATGAGCAGGTTACTAGACTTTCCTTGGGCTTCCAAACTCTCATTAGTAATGACCTTTCAAGGACTCGCCTGGGACTCCTTCTAGCTTAGTCATTCATTCCCAAAACATGCTGGGTGGAGTGAAGGGTGGGTATCTTCGCTAGCACCATCACCTTCAGTCCCTCTCCATTCAGATATCACTTCCTTCACAGGATTGTTGAGATAAGTAAATGAGAGGAGGTATCTTGGCTCTACTTCTTATTATGTATTTATCCTTGGATAGGTCACCTTACCTCCTTCTGCCTCATTTTTCTTATCCAAAAAATGAAATGGCAAGAGTTAACACATACCCACTGCTTACTGTGTACCAACCTCTGTCCTAAGCCTGTGCGTACTTTAATTTTATTTAATTCTTACACTTACCCTTTCTACAATCTCTGTTTTGCAAATGAGAAAACTGAAGCACAGAGAGATTAAGCAATGTTTCCAAAGTTATACAACTAGTAAACTGGGATTCAAACTCAGGCAACCTGCTATGAAAGTTCTTGCTTTAAAGACAATGCTTGGCAAGTAATAAATTCTTAGTAAATGTTTGATGATGGTGACGGTTGGAAAATCACACAGCACATAGCTGGCACACAGCACACACTCCAGTATTAATTCCCTTTCTCTGTCCTTGTGGCCTGGCTTTATGGCAGTTTGCGCTGCCCTCTTAACGCTTAATCACAAACCTCCATCCTCACCCCTCCAGTCAGTAATTTTTCTCTCCAACTCACTTCCTTTATGGACATCCAGATGTTCTGAGCAAACCCACGGTTTGACTGAATGGAGAGGGAGTGAAGGTGATGGTGCTGGCGAAGATACCCACCCTTCACTCCACCCAGCATGTTTGGGAATGAATGACTAAGCTAGAAGGAGTTCCAGGCAAGTCCTTGAAAGGTCATGAGGTCTGCCTAATTTGGAACATATGCTCCAAGTCTCTCTTTGCTTAACTATCCTCTAATCAAGAAATGAAACCTCATGAATTGTAACTTTAAGAACTTTTATTGCTTGGTTTTTCTTCAAAATGAAATTTACAGCTGAAAAGTTTAACCCACAATATCACAGCAGCGTTTTTTTTTTTTTTCTCATTTTTGTTTTGCTAGCATAATGAAAAGCCTTATCCTTTTTCAATTCAGAGTCTCACTCGTTGTTCTTGAAAATTCTCTATGGTTTTGCTTTCAAGATGGCCTCCTTGCTGGCCATGACTCACCGGTCTAGTGACTCAGAAGTGGCATCTAACAAGACAAGGAATGTGTAGTGCTGTGAAGGGACTTGGTGGCTGGTGGAGCCTCCCAGAAGCTCTCCCTAAATCTAGTTACTAGATGGAGTTATGTCCATTAGTGGGTGTTTGTTTATTTGAAGTTGGATCTGCCAGGGACACTGGTGTGTTCTGAAAATCTCCAAGGCTTGAGTCCACCATTGTCCCTCAACTGGCTGTGATCTTAAGGTTAACTGCATGGCAGGACATGGCTTTTGAGAATTTACCTGACCCTTGGAATGGTCACAGAATCAGGAGGTATAACACTTTGGTAAATATTGTGTCTGGAGGAAAAATAAAAGCTCTTTTTTTTTGAAGGGAGCTTCAGATCTCTTTTAATTTTTGAAAATAAACTATCCAATTAGAATGGATAGGCATGCAATAATAATAAATACAGCAAATGCAATAAATGTAGCAAAATATATTTGAAGATGGAGTTCACCAAGCAATTCTTCTATTCTTTTTTAAGTTTGAAATTTTTCAGAATGTAATGTTGGGTAAAATGCAGGTATCCCTAAGGTATCCGTCTTGAAAGAAAATCACCTCCCTTTTAATATAAGTGACAGCTCTTCTCCTTTTTCCACTCTCCTTCCAGCCTCAGTGTCCATTCCCACCTCCAAGCCTGCTTAATTAAAAAGGGCCTGGAGCAAGGCTGACAGGGGTTAGCTACTCCTTTATCTCAAGGATTTTATATTCATCCTGATAAGTAATTCTCATAATAGCACTGGAAACCAGTTATTATTTTCTGCATTTTAGGAGGAAATAGGCTCAGAGCAGTAAATGGCCCAGGTCACAAGATAATGGTTTTGTCTTAGAGCATTTATAGAGCCCTGACTTTGTGTACCAGGCTTTGTGCCATGTCCTTTAGATGCATTAACATACTGAGCCTCATCCATCCCTAGGAGGGGGTACCATTTTATCATCATGGTACAGAGCAGGAGATGGAGACTTAGAGAGGCACAAGAATGTGTTCAGCTTACTCTGGGGCCCAGTAAATGGCAGCCCCCATATTTGAATGCAGCCTCTCCTGCTTTAGCTCCCTCACCCTACTATTCAAGCCCAGGCCTTGGCACATCTCTACCTAATTTCAGTAAAATGACATATCTTATGGAAACCTCTTGTCATGAGACCACAATCTCCTGAGGACAGAGAATGTTTTGTTCACAGTGCGTTCTATCAGGTGATCAGAACTGTGCCTGACATGATGAATATTTACTGAATGAAAGAATGTATGAGTGGTGATTTCTAACCACCTACTTCTCTCACTGTCTCAGCTCCTAAAGGTGCTCCTACTGGGCTTTGCCCTTGGAGATAGAGATGTGTGTCTCCAGATGTGGTTTGTGAGCCAACATGACTCCTTTGGTGGCTAGCGAGGGGATCCAATGAAGGCAGATTGTCCTCATTCTCTTAAGTTTTTTCTTTTTTTTTTATTAAAAGTTTTTTTTTTTAATTTTATACAAGAACTGGGGTACAGACCAGATGCGTGGGAGGGTGAGAGAATTCACCAGAGACACAGCGGGGAACAGAACAGGTAGACTGACAAAATACACTGCTGAGGGGAGCAGCGGGCGCGACAGGAGAGGTCTGCAGCGCCGTGTGGGACCCTCACCTGCCGGCCAGGATCAAACCAGTGCTGCAGAGGCTTCGGACAGCTTCACAGTGTGGCACTCAACCACCTGTGCCACCAGGGGAGGACCCATTCTCTTAAGTTTTCAAAGAAGAGCATAAAGGTATACTATCCACTGCTGAGGAAGGATGGGGACTAAAACCAAATGCTTAAAATTTCCTGAAACTTTCAGGGAGAGTTTTTAAATGTGGCAGCTAGAATTCTACTCTAGGACCTCTAGTGGCCATGATAGCTTTCAGCTAGCTTTCACGTTAGCTGAATTGAACTCCTGCGTTGCAGTAGAGAGCAGGTGAACACTAGCAATTAGTTCTCTTTAATGTGCCCAAGCATATTGCTAATAATACCTTATATTTATATAGCACTTAGTTTACAAAGTACTGCCTCTGTTCTTCCTTTTAATCTTTTGAAGAGCCCTGTGCATAAATAGGACATGTATGATTAGTCCTATTTTACAGATGAGGAAACTGGCGCCAGAGAGTTATGTCACCTGCCCTACACCATTTGCTTAATTTCTATAGAGATAGGTCTTCAACCCTCTTTCTCAGTTCCTACTCCAGTAAAATTTCAAAGTTAATATTGTACTTAACCCAGCAATATCTGAAGATGAGAGCCACAGGTATGTGTTTTCTTCTTTGTTGTTCTTCTCCCAAGCAAGTTTCTGGACTGAGTCAATTAATCTTTCCCAATATCAATTTACTAATCTATGCAATTGGTAATCCTTGCCTTACCTCCCCCTCACCCCTCAACCAGTGAACACACTTGGAGCAGAGGAGGTAGTGAAAGTTCAGAATTAAAAAAAAAAAAAAAGAAGGGCCTCTCTGGTGGCACAAGGGTTAAGATGCAACCCATGAAGCAAACCATGAGGCTAACCGCAGACACTGCGGCGTGAGTTTGATTCCTGGCCAGCCAGAGAGCTACCCACGGGGCACAGCAGACCTCTCCTGGCTCGCCTCACTTCTCCCCTCAGCAGTGTCTTTCAGTCAATCTGTCTGTTCTGTTCCCCACTCTGTCTCTGGTGGGTCCTCTAACCCCTCGCTCCTCTGGCCTGTGACCCAGCTCTTGTATGCATAAATAAATAAATCTTAAAAAAACAAAAAAGAAGCTATTTCAGAGTGAAGACACATGGGGTGATGATCCTGACCCATTTTCCATAGATAAGTTAAATGTCATCTCCCAAGACACCCTGTCTAACGTGGCACCTCTGAAACCTCTTTAGCTGCTTCATTTTTCATCACAGCATTCAATGGCATTTATTATGTTTACATATATATTTTATTGCCTGTCTGAACTGTCCCACCAGAATGTAATAGCCATAAGAGCAGGAATTTGGTTTGTTGTCTGTATTCCTGAAGCTCTGACAGGTGGCACAGTACCTGGCACAAATAATTATTTGTTGAATGAAGGGTGGAAGGAATCTGATTGAATATAAGACTGAACTAGACGATTCATAGATTTGCTTGAATTTTCCTTGCTCTCTAACAGAGAGATCTCATGGTTTGACTTCCTCATTCCCATTTGTGGCTCATTCAAAGGCTTAAAACCAATCACGAAAGCACCCTTGAGTATTGACATATGCCTGGGTGAAATGCCTAAGTAGCAGACACAGGTCATTGTATGGCACTGTATGCCTTGGTTTTGTAACGGTGCAGCTTGAGGACTGGAGCTGGTTTCCTTCACTAAAGGAAATGGTTGTTGAATGAATGGCTATGTAAGAGGAATCTATACAGGGCATTTAATTTCCCTCCAAAGTTAAGGTCTCCATCTGAACGTACGTCTGGCTCATGGCACTGTCATTCCCCTTTCAATTTAAACCAAATCTCCCCGGAGACAAGGAGGCTCTGAACAGTAGGATCCCTAACCTAAGGGAAGGAAAAGCAAGTGCAGACTCCAGATCCAGTTCCATGCCATGTTTTGGAATTTCTGTTTACGTCTACCTCCATCCCCATCCTTCCGCTCCAGCATAAGCAAAATTATAACCCCCACATACCGACTTGCATGCAATTTTCAGAGCCTGGGTGCTCCTCCGTTGAGGGACTTTGCCCCCGAGACCCACTGACTGTCTGTGAATGACAAATCAAAAGTCAGGGTTGCAGAATCAGCCGGACTTGCCTGCTCATTTGCAGCAGAGGGAGGAAGGAAAAAAATGAAAGATTCTGAAAATAAAGGTAAGGGGCTGACTGCAGAGGGGAGGCTAAAAGATGCTTGTGATGAACTGTCACTCCACAGCCTTGCTAGTGTGTATTAATGGCTAATTTAAAATTACCGTGCACATATTATTTTAAAATTCTAGTTATATAATAAACATGACTTTAAAATGACTGGCTTCTGTTTTCCAAGTATTGTGTCATTCAGTTTTCCATTTTTGTGCTACCGAATACAACAATATTTATATTGGCTTAGAAACACATGTTTCCATTTCACAGATTGCCTTCTAGTAGCTCCTAGGGTTTTGATAATTTTATTTTGTGAGTGTTCACAATAATTAATGTGTAGGTCTACAATGCGTTCTTGGAATTGAAATATCAGAAATACTTTGATCTTGCATAGTTTGGGTTCTCGAGAAAAAAACGTTCACCCAGAATTCCTTAATGAACATTAATCTTTTCAGAAGGACCCTCTAGGGAGCCGTCCCTGACCTTCAGAACTGCTTATCCTGCAGAGAGATACTCCGATGCAAACTACCCACCTCCCCCCCGAGCCTCCACCCTCCTAGATCCCTGGTTTATTTTGGCCCCCCCACTTTCCCTCTCTTCACCCCCGCCTCTCCGCATCACTAATTCCGTTGGAGGCACTGGGAAGGAGAGGACGGCTATAAATGAAAACTCAGGAAAGGAAAGGGTTTGCAGAAAATGAGCCAACCAAATTTTAAGTTCAACAACAAGCATTCCGGGGGTTAAAATTCCGAGGCTCCTTAAATTTTCTGCCGCAGTTGGGGGAGGAGCAATAGACCCTTAAGTCTCAGGAGGCTACACGTGTCCCCCATCCTGTTCCAGGAAGGAGCCCTTCCTACAGCGTCGGTGCTGCGCGGGTCGGGGTGCAGGAGGAAGGCTCAGAGGGGTTCAGGCCACGGGAATAAGCCCTCGGCGGCCGCCGAGGCTAAGGACGCCATCTCCGCTGCCTGTTCCTTGCCTGGCTTGCCTAGCTCTAATTTTAGGGGTTTCCGCCCTTCCCCCACATCGGGGACTTCCACTGTTCTCGTTTGGGAGCCGTTGTGCAGCAATTTGCATCACCCCTCTCTGCGCGCTCTGCTTTAAGGAGGCCCCAGCACTTTGCCCTTCCGGTGCGCAGGTGGTGATTGGCGGCTGCCAGGGCGGGTAACTGGCCACGGCTCACCCTGCCAGCGCCCGAGTTAAGTTGTTTGTGTCTTCGGTGTGATGACATAGGCCCCAAGCCTTTTCCTTCCTGTGCCTTGGGCCACCCGACTTGGCTCTCTCCAGACCAGTTCCCACGAGTCTCCTGCTCCCTGGCTTGTTAGAAGAATCCCACCTGGTGAGGGACAGTGGTGTTTATTACATGATAGAAGAAAAAAGAGGAGCAAATCTCCTCCCCTCTGCCCCCCCCAACTGCCTCTGATACCAGTGGGGAGACTGTTTTAATGTGCCAAACTGTAATGAGGGCTCTTAAGCAATCCACTTTCTGTACTTGAGGCTTTACAAGGGGTAAGGGTAGTTGGTGTTCGTAGTATTAATATCTAATAATAAGCTCTGGATCATTCCCATCCACATATTGATTCGTGTGGTTTTGGTGATTAAATTTTAATGAAGCAGCTTTAGTGGGGGAGAAAAAACAGCTTTGCATGGGCCTGGTAAGTGGACAGGGCCTCTCTGCTGATGTTGCTTGGCCAGCCTCTCTCATGGGCATATAAAATCTGTGTGTGCAAAGTATTCAGAATGAACTAAAGGAGAATGTTGCGTTTTCCTGTGTTATTTTCAGTTTTCAAAGGGCTTCTGGAAAGAAAAACTTTGCTTATATGCAATGTCATGCTAGGCCGTTGCATGACTTAGAAAATGTGGAGACAGCCTGAATTGGAGGCTCAGGATAAGGTTCATGTTCACCAGTGTCCATAATTTTAAGACTCCCACTTTTTCAGTGTATTGGCCTGTTTTCAGCTTCAAATCCCCAGTCTCTTTTGGAGAAGAGTTGATGTTTACAATTTTTATTTCACTTTGTTTTGGAAAGAGCCTTTGGTTGCGGACCAGGATAGTCAAGATTTGCCTCCTTCCACCTAACTTATCAGTGATGAAGGACAAGACAAGAAAAACAATTTAATGTGCCTTAAGCAACCTTTTATAAAGATGTAGAATAGAACATGTCAGAAACCACTGCACATGTTAAGGGTATATACTGTTTCTGGAACTTGTGTTTTAGGTGTTTATTTCCATATAGGTATGGGTTGTAATGATGTCAGATCTTTTTCTTCTTGTGACTCGGTCAAAATTTAAAGAAACACTGAAATAAAGCATAGCGTCTTCACTTGGAGTTCAGGGAGTCTGTGAAATGCAGTTTTATATGCATGTCCATTTTTGCTTATATAGGAGGAGAATGTCGACAGTTTTCCTCAGATTCTCAAAGAAACTGATGACTCCAAGCAGGTTATAAATTGTATTTCCCCCAAGACTCTACCAAGCTGGTTTCTTCGAGATCAGATAATTCTCTCAGGCTTGGGAGATGGGGTTGGTTTGACAGAGACCAGCTGAGTGTATGAGTTTACCATGTGAGGTGGGGTGTATATGTGTGTGTGTGTGTCTGGGTGTGCTGAGAAGGTGTGACCATGGTAACCAGACCATGAGAGCTATTTGCATGTTCCAAAGAGCCAGTTTGTAACCTGAATATGAAACATAAATATATTAAAAGTTAGTCTTTGTATTGAAAAGTACTACAGGAAAACTGTTAATACACTGTGAATCATTGGAAGTTAACTCTCTCTTTGTAAATTAGAGACTGAAAACAAGAACCAGGTAAAATTTAGAGATTGAGAGGGGCAAATGAATCATTGGGATGTTGGTAGGCAGAAACTGAATTTTATAAGTTGCCATCACATGATTAGTGTTCAGTAAAAGTTGAATTGTGATTTAATAAATGCTTTTCTTTTCCCGCTTTCAGGTACATCTTGTCTTATGACAGTCCAGTGAGGTTTTGAAATATAAAAAAAAATTGTGTAACATTTACCCAGCATATCTCAAAATGCTTTGAAAGCCAGGAAAAAATTTATGTATAAAGCAACTAAGAAGAAAATAGTTGAATGAGCTAATAAGTAGGTATTGGCATACATGACAGCTGATTATAATAATAGCAACTATAGCTCCTATTTAATAATCAACTAGAAGGCAAAAAGCTCTTTGAGGTGCTCTACATGTTGTGACAACGCTGCAAGGTGGGGGCCTTTTTACATGTAAAGAAATGGATTAAGAATTTTATGCAGGGACACATACCTAGTAAGTGACAGAGCCAGGATTCAAACCGGGTCATTTTACCTCAAAACCTATTCACACGGTAGGCTAGGGCTTGAAAATGAGTATTTTTATAAAATTAGAGTTTTATATAAAATTCTCAATATATTGATCGATAGAATTTTTTTACTTATTATAGAAAGGGAAGTGTGAACCTTAGAAAATGATGACTTTTGACTAATTTTCTAGATTGTGTTTATTTGGAAAACAGACTTTAAAACTCTAAATTCAGGCCCAAAGTTTCCCTTTATTTAGTATGTTCTCTGAGTATTTTATGCCACAAAGTCTTAGATGCAGAGATATGAAAGAATAGGAATTGGGTATTTGAAGCTTTGGAATTTTTTTTCCTACTAGAGTTCAGGGCAGATAATTCTCAATTCTCTTGTTATTTTTCTAGATTTTGATCATGTAATAACAAACATGATTTTTTTTTGAGCAAATAAAGTTGTATATAACACTTTAATGTGGTACTATTAGGTTTAGAGTGTGGTCTGTGCCAGTGGTTCTTGGAAGAGTTTGATATTTTTAAAAAAAATTTATTTGTTTGTTTGTTGGTTGGTTGGTTTATTTATTTATACAAGCACTGGGTACAGTCAGAAGCGCGGAGGGTGAGAGAATTCGCCAGAGCCAGAGAGGAGAGCAGAATAGGCAGACTGAAGCAATACACTGCTGAGGGGAGCAGCAGGCACAGCAGGAGAAGTCTGTGCACCAAGTGGGACCCTCGCTGGCGGCCTGGGATGGAACGGGTGCTTCAGAGGCTGCCGGCAGCTTCGCAGCCCAGTGCTCAACTGCTGAGCCACCGGGGAGGCCCTTTTGATTTTCTGATGCAAGTTATTACAAATCTGATTGGGAGTTTGAATATAGTCAGGTCCAGACTTTCAGGTCCTAAATATAAAAAGACTATGATTTCCAGTCTTCAACCTACCATTCAAAATAAAATAAATGTAAAGAAATCTAAAAACTTGATTTTTAAAAATCATCATGACTACTTTGATACTTTTAGAGAAAAGTACATTTTTTTTCAGGGATTTTTGTCATTGCTGCTTGGGATTGGGTGAGTTAGGGAAACAGTGGTTTGACTGGGGTGATTTGTAATGACTGAATGATTACTCAAGGTTTCCAGACTAGCTTGTGGTAAAGCTGGGTTTAGAGCCTGGTCTATGCCACAGATCTCAAAAGGCCTCTCAAAAGGGGCTCTGGAAGCACTCACTGAAATAGTAGGTATCCTGCAATGTTATGGACTATTCCAGTCAATGACAAAATTTCCTATGTCCTGTGCAACCTTCAAATGTTTTGCAGAAGAGGTAAGTTAAAACTTCTATACTTTCCTGAGTCTGGAACATGTATTGTCTTTTCATACATGCTGAAATTTCCAAGATTAAAAATGCTATGTAAGGTGAAAAGTTATATTTAATTTTCTTTAGAACATCACTTACCCAAAGCAACAGCACTTGTGTCTGGGACTTGACCAATACAGCTCACCCATCTCATTCATCTATATACTGGTACATGTGTCTGATTACTCTGTTATGTCTCTGATATAGTCCTGCTTGAGCATCTATTGAAATCCATATTTTTATTATGATTACTTTTCTATTTTTTTATAGTTGATACAGTATGTTTAATTTTGTACTATACTGTTATCTTTGAATTTCATTTTGAGATACTAAGGATTTATAAAATATTTTCATATTTAATATATTTGTATGACTCAA